CCTTTTACTCCTGAAATACATAATGCAGCCATATTGTCTGTCATCAAAGGTCTGGCTGTCTTAACCCAGAATAGACAGCCAGGCTCCTGATGATGTCCTAAAGAAAATAGTGCAGTGAGATGTGGCTTTACGTCAGTGTAGCGGTGAGTGACAGAAGGACCACACTGGTGTTTATGTGGATACCAGCAATGACAGTGGTAAGGGGAAGGAGAGAGGGAAGAATGGGGCAATATTCCTGTCCCAAAACCCCCTCAGTTCCCAGATATTTGCAGAGTGTTGTTAAAAGAAGAGAGGATGCAACACCGCGGTAAACATGGCTCTGTCCCAACTTTTTTTGCGAAGTGTTGCTGCCTTCATTTTCAAAGTTACCCTATTTTTTCTGAATGGTATTTTCTCTGGTTAAACATTTGATATGTTTTCTATTTTGAATAAAATATGGGTTTATGAGGATTGCAAATCATTGCATTCTGTTTTATGTAGGTTTTACAGAGCTTCCCAACTTATTTACTTATTTCTAATTTGGGTTGTATTTAGTGGTTCTATTTAGCACCTTTTGTTTACATTACAGCTTTTACTCTGTTGGGATATGTCTCTACTAGCTTTGCACATCTAGATTTTGCAATATTTGCCCACTCTTCTTTGCAGATCTGCTCAAGTTCAGTTAACCCCTTCATGCCTAAGAGTAATCTTAACGCCTAAGCACAATCTTGTAACTTTGACATATCATCTCAACTACTTTGTGTATACAGATGGATTATACCTTGTTTTTTTCAGGACAAATTGGGCTTTCATTTGGTGGTAAATGGTAATGGATATCTCTGGATTTTGTTTTCTATTATCAAAGGAAAACTGGCCCAAAATATAAAACAATAATAATATTTTTTTATAATTTAGCTGTGTATTCCTTGTTACTAAGATAACCTACCACCAAAGAATAACCCCAAATAAATTTTCCAGCTCGACAATCGCAGCGATATGTATATATATATGTGTACGTTATTTGTTGTCTGTACCCACAGAATGGCCCAAAACAAGAGTGCACATTTTTGTTTTTTTTACGTAAAACACATTGACACTAGCTGACTCTGATCCTAATTTGGGAAAAAAAAATCCTGACCTTTGACCTTGACCCAAACACTAACCCTGGCACTGAACTAGATCAAACCTTGATCTAGGTATTTTTTCTTTATTTTTTTCTTTTATTTTTTAATATATTTTTATCTTTTCTTTTTTTTTTAACAGTTTTTTTTTCCTTTATGCAAGGAGAGAGAGAGAAAGACACTGTATCTCTCTCCTCTTCATAGAGAGAGAAAAAAAACAAGGGGGTGGGCGTTACGTTGACTGATCACTGTAATATCCAATCAGAGGCTATCACAGCGATCATGTGACCCGGAATCAGGAGCCCGGGTCCCGATCGTTAGAACGGGACCCGGGACTCTCAGTGACACCCCGGTCTTTCTGCTGGGAGCACGCTGTTCGGTTCGCTCCTAGCACAAAGACAGGTAAGCAAATATGCAGCAACACGGAAAAAACCCAGTTCTGTAAGGCCACATATTTGTGTTACGACAGTGTGAAGGGGTTAAATTTGAAAGTGATCGTTTGTGGACTGCAGTCTTCAAGTCATTCCACAGATTTTCAATGGGGTTTGGACAAGGACATTCATCTTTTCTCCTTCAACCACTGTGTGGTCATTTGTGCTGTGTGCTTTGGGTCATTGTCATGTTGGAAGGTAAACCTCCTTCCCATTGACAGCTTTCTGGCAGAGGGCAGCAGATTTTCCTCAAGAATTTGATGGTATTTTGCCCAATCCATTTTTCCTTCTATCCTGACAAGTTCTCCTGTTCCTGCTGCAGAGAATCCCCCTATAACAGGATATTATCACATCCATGCTATACTGTAGGAATGGTGTTATTATTGATAGTGAGCTGTATTGGATTTCTGCCAGGCAAATCGTTTACTGTTGAGGCCAAATAGTTAAATTTTAGTCTCATCTGACCATAAGACCTTTTCCATGTGGCCTCAGAATCTTCATGGTGGGTTTTGGCAAAGCTCAGTTGTGATTACATGTGGCCTTTCTTGAGGAGTGCCTTTTTTTTCTTGTAACCCTCCCATACAAGCCACATTTGTGGAGAATGTGTGATATTGTTGTCACATGCACACACTGACAACTCTTTGTCATAAATTCATGTAACTGCTTCAAAGTTGCTGTAGGCCTCTTGGTAGCCTCTCTGACCAGTTTCCTCCTGGCTCTTTCATCCAGTTTGGAGAGACATCCTGATCCAGGGAGGGTCTGCGTTGTACCAAATGCTCTCCACTTCTTAATAGATTTCATTGTGTTTCTAGGCATTGATAAAACTTTTGACATTTTTTGTATGCATCTCCTGACTTGTGACTGTCCACAGCTTTATCCTGTAGATCTTTTGACAGTGCCTTGCCACTCATAGATGATTGATTGCTTCAGTTGCACTATCAGGGCCTGAAATGCTCCAGGAAAGCTCTTTTCATGCTGAGCTAATCAAAATGACCACAGCTCATCACAGTTGAAAGTCAAATGGCTTTGTGTGTCATTGAGTAGGTGATTAGCTACACCTGATAAAGTTTACAAGTCATTTTTAGGATAGAGTGATCCTTTTTCCAACTCAGTGATTCTGTTTTTTAATGTTATTTTTTCTGACATATTGGTGTTATATCTTTTACTTGGATGTTATAAGTTGCACTGAGTAAATACAGCTGGACAAAACAAAAACTGTGTCTGTCTTCATTTCAGGCTGCAAAGCAACAAAGTGTGTTTATTTTAAAGGGGGGTGATTCTTTTCTATACCCACTGTAGGATGATATTGCTCTGCCTCTGTTTCCCAGTTATGCTCCTGCATTGTCACACAGGGTTCTGATGTACATTACAAATAGATGTTTGCTTTACTAAAAGTGGAAAGTGCAAAATCTGGTGCAGCTCTGCATAGAAACCAATCAGCTTCCAGGTTTTATTGTCAACACTTAATTGAACAAGCTGAAGTTAGAAGCTGATTGGCTACCATGCACAGCTGCACTAGATTTTGTGCTCTCTAGTTTTAGTAAATCAGCCCTGTTATGTAAGCATAATGCACAGGAAGTATCTGCAAAGAGATTGCAGAATAGCATCGGCATGAAGATGCAATAAACAGTAAAGTATACGGTTAAAACAAGAATTTTCTTGAAAAAAGTGTTTATGATAAACAGCGCTTTAGCAAACTGAATGACATTCAGTGAAGGGGCAATCAAAAGAAACAGATATTTGCCAACTTTTCAACAATATAAATGGGCTGTTAAATAGTTTTTTACAGTTGTGAAGTAGAATGATATAATTTTAGCATACAATGAGTGATGAAACCAAAGTAAATACCAAAAAGTGACAATCATATCTTTAATACAAGACAACAAATGGAATTGTTTTTCTTTTGTCTTTTTAATGGTTTGAAATGTACTAATATACTTTAGATGCCTGGTTTCCAATACTATGCTTATTAACCACTTGTCCTCCAGAGGATTTACCCCCCCTTCCTGACCAGGCCATTTTTTGCGATAGGGTGCTACGTTATTGTAACTGACAATTGCGTGGTCATGCAACGCTGCACCCAAATGAATTTTACGTCCTTTTTTCCCACAAAATAGAGCTTTCTTTTGGTGGTATTTGATCGCCTGTGTGTTTTTTTATTTTTTGCGCTATAAAAAAAAAAGACAATTTTGAGGAAAAAAAACAATATTTTTGACTTTTTGCTATTAAACATGTCCAGTAAAAAAATTTAAAAAATCAAATTTCGTCATAAAGTTAGGCCAAAATGTATTCTGCTATGTGTCTTTGCTGAAAAAAAAAAAAAAAAAATCTCAATACATGTAAATTAATTGGTTTACGTGAAAGTTATAGCATTTACAAATGGCGGCATATATGCAGGAATTTATTTTTTACTAGTACTGGCAGCGATCAGCGACTTATTGCTTGACTGCAGTGGGCATTCTGACACTGCGGGAACTGACTTGGTGTCACTGACATCCCCAGTGACATCAATACAGTGATCGGTGCTAATAAAAAGCACAGACCATGTACTAATGGCACTGGGCAGGAAGGGGTTAACATCCTAGATTGTAAGCTCCAAGGAGCAGGGCCCTCCTATCCCTCTTGTATTGAACTGTATTGTTGCTGTATTGTCTCCCATTATATTGTAAAGCGCTGAGCAAACTGTTGGCGCTATATAAATCCCGTATAATAATAATAATGTGGGTCGATCAAAGGGTTAACTGTGTGCTGTTTCACATTATGTGCGCGTCACTGTAAGCACACTGCTTTGTATGGCTCTGCTATGCTATGCAGAGCCATACAAAGCAGCGTGCAGGAGCTGACAGGGGAGATAACTGTATTGTTTACATACAGTTTTCTCCCCCCTTCAGTAATACCCAGGGATCACTGGCTGCTGGCGAGTAATCATCCGAGGGGGACCTGGTGATTGACAGCCGAGGCCGCTAATGGTGGCACGGGTAGAATGCGATCGCCCCCTATCCAGAACTGCAAAATCACGTGTGTGTATATATACGTGATTTTGCGCATCCGTGCCGCCCTATAGCAGTATTTCACCTATAGGGCGGACGGCAATCAGTTAAGTACATCCATGTGGCAATGTGAGCAGTATTGAGTTTTGTTTGTTGTTGTTTTTTTATTGATCTTAATAATAGCCTATTAAAAGAAGTGCATTATTTACACTTGATCTACCCAACCACATACTTAAATCTTGTATACTGAACTTACTAAATCCAGACCTTGGTGGGTCACTGGTTTAGCATGCCAAAAATACTAACCATGTAATAACTGAAAGAAGCTGTATTCATATCCCTTATTGTGTTTGATAATATAATAAAAGATTACTAGAGCTTGATATAACAAAACTTTTTTCTTTACCCTAATGTGTTCGTTTATGAATATTAGGTGATCTTGTTCTTGTTTGTTTCTTTGTTTCTGTAAACTTTGTTAGGTGTTCAGAGTCCAGTAAATATCCAGAGCAAATGGTCATTCCTCTTCAGCTTGACTGACCTCAAGTCAATTAAACAGAACAAAGAAGGCATGGGGTGGTCTTATTTTGTTTTCTGCTTGAAGGATGATGTTATCCTTCCAGCTCTTCACTTCCATCAAGGAGGAAGCGAACTTCTGCTTGAGTGCCTTGAAAAATACGTGGTGCTGTGCGAGTAAGTATCACATAATGCTTTAGGTGTTTTCGTCTTTGATGTTTGAATTTTGCTATAAATAAAAATATCAGTAGAGCAATGATCACAGCATTACAGATCTCTTCTTGTACACAACAGACAGTATTCTTAAAGAATATTTAAACCCGACATTTGTTATTCTCGATATGTGGCTCCTGTACCATGTGCTTGTATGAGAAAGTATCCTGTTCTCTTTGTATTGCTTCCTTTGTGTGAAATCTTTGGTGTTCCTGCCAGTTCCTCTGCTTTCCTATTAAAAGCTGACCACACTAGGCAGCAGAGCACTGCATAGTCAGTTCTCCAGCTGTGCTCTCTAATGATCAGACTTGTCCTGACAACCTTCCCCCCTGCACATCCATTCACTGGGAAGATTAGCATGCTGCTGTTTCTCCTTCCCCCAACTCTTAAGCAGCTGAGAACAAAGATTATGTGATCGCTTATAAAACAGGAAACGAAGATGTTTATAATGTTTTTTATAGCTATACAGAAATGTTTTGCATTTCATTTATATATTAAACTGAATGGGTTACTTTACAAGTTGAAGGTTTGCATATACTTTTAAAGCAGAACTCCAGACACAAACATTTTTTAAATTTCCTATGTGGTCAGGCGCAGATCAGTTTTATACTGTACTCTTTATACCAACACAGTGGCGTTCTTTCCTGGCCACAGTCATGTTTCTTTTCCTGTTTTGTGTTTGTCCTGTGACCCTCTCCATCCCCTCTTTCTGAAAGCATCAAACATTTGGGGGTTGTAATGGTCCTTTTTCAAAAAAAGATTCCCCATTTTTGAAGACCTAAATATTGATTTTCTTTTTCAATCATTTTTTTAGAGTTTTCATTCCATAGAAAAACAACAAGCATAACAAATGTGCAAATGCTCAAACAGCACCATTCACACACTTGTAATGGTACACATAGAAACCACAAAAACACAGCAGGGCGTGAGTCCTTACCTATTCTGGAGGGGAGCATTGTATTGGATAAATTAATGTATCAATGAACATAAGTCTAACTACAAAATAGCGGATATAACAAACATTTTAAAGAAACAGTGACTTAGGGATGATTGTGGTTGAGGAACATTTAGAAAAGTCGCAAGAATTTTAGTGAATCATTTCAGATCATTATTAATTAAAGAAATTGGCCGATAATTGGCCACATCACTGGGATCCTTGTGGGGCTTTGGGATGAGGGCTATGAATGCTTTATTGGAGTCCAGATCAATAGGGCCTCCGCACTGTATTGAATTGAAGTATTGTTGCAAGGGGGAAGCTAGAATGGAAGGAAACGTTTTATAATGTAGTCACAGCTGGTAGAGTGAGGACATTTTGGTGATGGTGGGGTAATGAGAGCACAATAGAAGGGCAAGGAAGAAGAGGTAAGGAATTCGTACTGGTGGGGGAAGGAAATTCTGGAGCTGTTGGGTCTAAGGAGAGCCTAGTACAAGGAGAAAGAATAGGTGAGTAGTGTTGGCAGGGTAATAAGAGACTAGTGATAGAGGGAAGGATGGAGAAGGTGAGCATTGCTGGTGGCAGAAGGATAGTCTTGTGCTGGTAAGGGAGTCCAGTACAAGGAGGGGGAAGAGGTAAGCAGTGCTCGTAGGGGAAGGAAATCATTGTGCTGTGGGGTAATGAGAGCTCAGTGCAAGGTGGAGGTAGAGATAGAGATGAGCAGTTCTGCAGGGGAAGGGTATCTGGTGCTGGTGCAGTAAGAAAAGTACAGTGCAAGGAGAAGGAAGACGTGGCAGTTCTGGTGGGGGAAGAAGAGTCTGGTGCTGGAAGGAGGATGCGAAATGTGATAAGGAGACCCAATGCAAGAAGAAGGATAAGGATGAGCAGTGGAAGAAGGTTATGGCAGCTTTACCAGACTGTTGTGATGACACACATGATTGGGGCAGGTACAGACAGAGCAAGAGTGATTCTGTGTATGTTTGGGCTTGAAATTGAGCAGGGCTTTGTGTGACGGCAACTGCACACGCAAGACTGAACTGCACAGGAGGGTGGTAAGTTGGCTCCAAGTGATCAGGGTTAACATTTATCAGAGCATTGGTGAAGGGCTGACAAGGGTGCTTACCTATACCCACAATGTAAAAGAGACAGCTTTGAAGAAGGAGGTGAGACCCTTAACATGTGAAGCATGCAAGGTAAGAAGAGGGAGGGAGGTAAAAGTGCCTGAGAGTGACACAAGAGTGTAAAACAAGGCAGAACTTGCTCTGGAGGAGGCGACAAATGATGTTTGCACAGAGCAGTCTGTGAGTTTGCACAGAACAGCCCTGATCCTAGTTTTCCTGGGTCCTCCTGCCATGTGCCCCCATAGCAAGCCCCTAGCTATGGGGGCACTTGTGCGTGCTCCTCCCAAGCCGGCTGTGTTTGTTAATTTGCACACAGCGCGGTTCAGCCCTGCTCCTGCTCAATGGCTGTGACTGACAGCAGCAGGAGCCAATAGCTGTTGCTCTTGTGTACATCGCTGGATTGAATCAGGCTCAGGTACGTATAGAGGGAGGCTGTGGGGGATTTACATGCAGAATGTTTTTTACCCTAATGCATAGAAAGCATTAAGGTAAAAAAAAAAAAACATTCTGCCTTTGGAACCACTTTAAGTACTCCTTTTTGCCCCCTGCATGAAAAACCTATTCAACCAGTCAGCATCCAGTTGTCATAAGTTTTGCAGAAATTGTGTGCAAAGTTCGGGCCATAGATGGCCACCCCTAGACAGTATATGCTTGGCTGTTTAAAAACATGTCAAAGGCCTTCGGTTGAAACTTGTGCATTGGTGGCTTTTTTTTATGGTAATCTCCTGTTTGATTTCCTCTCGCCTCATAATGACATCCCATCCTGTTGTGTTGAAAATAAAGAGATAAAACTTATTAAAGATGCTATCTTACACTTTAATAACACTCCAGGTAGTCCCAGCACAAGTGGAATAAGAAAATTCATTCTTTGCCCCTAGCAGAACAATTGCTGATTATATCACTATGATTGCATTTAGTTCAGGAGAGTAATATGTGGCCGGTGGAATAGAGCTGTGTACCAGAATAAACATACTGTTTTATGCAGGTAGTCTACTGAGGCCTCCTCTGCCTTTGTTATCTATCATGTCTTTGCTTTTCTGAGGCAAATAATAATAATGTCTTTTTTTGTTTCTACTTGCCAAAACAGCTATGATGTTGTCTATAGATTGTACAAGGATACTTTGTCCTCTGCAGTTATTTTGTTAAAGTACCTACAGATATATCCATTGACTGAATTGTACTATTGTCTTTGTTTTGTAGATTTGGGGGAAAGAAACTCCAGCTGATTGTTCTTGGGGACAATGGCTATCAGTTGTGCTCAATGTTTTTTTTTTTGATGGTCCTACTGATAATATTTTCCACCAGATAATGTCACTGATGAGGTTGTCTTGTCATACAGCCTGCTGGTGTGATCAGAACTTTCACTGAAGTAATTAGTTGATATTTAGAAGGTGAACCACATCTGATGTCTGTGGTCGACTTTAGAGGTCTGGATATCAAGTTGGTATTGCTTCCAACCGTTTATTCTTCTTAGCTCGGTTTGTCACTACATACCATAATACCTTCAGCATTAAAAAACAAAAACAAGTTTAGCGGGTTTTTTTTTCCGTAACGTTTTTATAAACCCATCATTTGAATTACATTGTACATATGCAGAAATGTACCGTATTTTTCGCTCCATAAGACGCACCTGACCATAAGACGCGCATAGGTTTTAGAGGAGAAAAACAAGAAAAAAAATATTCTAAACCAATGGACTGCAGACACAGTACAGGGGATGACCAGAGACTGCAGACATAGTACAGGAGATGACCAGAGACTGCAGACAGTACAGGGATGACCAGAGACTGCGGACACAGTACAGGGGATGACCGGAGATTGCGGACACAGTACAGGGGATGACCGGAGATTGTGGACATAGTACAGGAGATGACCGGAGACTGCGGACATAGTAGAGGAGATGACCAGAGACTGCGGACACAGTACAGGGGATGACCAGAGACTGCGGACACAGTACAGGGGATGACCAGAGACTGCGGACACAGTACAGGCGATGGCCAGAGACTGCGGACACAGTACAGGGGATGGCCAGAGACTGTGGACACAGTACAGGGGATGACCAGAGATTGTGGACGCAGTACAGGAGATGGCTAGAGACTGCGGACGCAGTACAGGGAATGACCAGAGACTGCGGACACAGTACAGGGAATGACCAGAGACTGTGGACACAGTACAGGGAATGACCAGAGACTGCGGACACAGTACAGGGGATGACCAGAGACTGTGGACAAAGTACAGGGAATGACCAGAGACTGCGGACACAGTACAGGGAATGACCAGAGACTGCGGACACAGTACAGGGAATGACCAGAGACTGCGGACACAGTACAGGGAATGACCAGAGACTGTGGACACAGTACAGGGAATGACCAGAGACTGCGGACACAGTACAGGGAATGACCAGAGACTGTGGACACAGTACAGGGAATGACCAGAGACTGTGGACACAGTACAGAAGACCAGAGACTGCAGACGATGCAGGGGATGACCAGAGACTGCAGACAGTAAAGGAGATTACTAGACCTAGCGGACCTTTGAGGAGGGAGGGGGAACGGGCACCTGAATTTGACAGGTACCCACTCCCACTTCTGCGGAGTTGTCCTTTCTTCTTCTTCCCGCGGCAGCTTCTGTGACAGCCGGGTGCCCACTGCGCATGCGCGAGAAGCGCTGCGCTTTGTGAATGGCCCGGAGCCTTCTGGGACCTGTCATGTGTCCCAGAAGACACTGGAGCATTCACAAAGCGCGGCGCTTCTCACGCATGCGCAGTGGGCACCCGGCTGTCACAGAAGCCACCGCGGGAAGACTGCAGCGCTGGAGCGAGGAACAGGTAAGGTCCTGCAGGAGAGAAGAACTGAGCGGCCGGCCCGATATTCTGACATGGTGGCGGCAGAAATACCGGACCGGGTGCTTTACATTCGCTCCATAAGACGCACTAACATTTTCCCCCCTTTTTTGGGTGGAAAAAAGTGCGTTTTATGGAGCGAAAAAATACGGTAAATGATAATTGCTGTACTTGCATGTGGCTAGTTCTCTGTTCCAGAGCTAAATAGGTCTGAAACATAACAAGGCTCTGCTTCTCCCACCTTTGTTCCAGCTTAGGATGTTGTGTCACATAATATGTTCCTGGCAGTCAATCCCCAAGGTGCAAACATTTTCACGATGGCTGCATAGGAATTAGGAGGTGGAATGGTTTCCTGAAGCTGGTGCAGCATAATGAAGGCTCCTAGTTAATCAGGAAAGTGTTATATCCTTTTAAAAGTGTAAGATAGGAGCTGGGGAAAGCTTCCAGCTGTGACAAGTACAGGGAAAGTTGACTTCAGCTTCAGAAGTGCACAGTCCCTTTGAGGGCACCTGACATCAGAACCTTTAAGCTTTTGGTATGTATCTTACTAGAATCTCCCTGCTTGTCATTGCTGCTAGTATGTATTTCCCTTTCTTCAAAGTTTAGGACTTTTTAAGGATGTTTGCTAAATAATATTGCATGACTGACAGCTCTCATTTCATATTTGTCCCTGTTTACCTTGCAAGTAATGATTGGCAGGCCTTGGACTGCTTCTGATTTCTCGCATAAAAATATAGTACACAACCATTTGTAATCACTATGTGTGTACTTGATTCAGCTATAAAGTTCTGTGAGTGTGCTTCAGTATACCTGTCATTACCATTTAGACCACAAGCTACCAATTGAAATGTTTTCGGAAGTTTGTGTGCCTCTAAACATCCTTTCAGAGTGTTCGCTGTAATGTTTTTTAAAAGTGAAACTCTAGGCAGGTTTTAGAAAACCTTTTGGCCCTGATATATAATTAATAAATCATTATGTGGACATTTATCAAGAAAAGCGACACAAGTTGAAAAACTGTTGCAGCCAAGTAAGACAGTTTTCAAAGTTCTAAGACAGATTTAATACTGAAAATGAGGCAGATTTTCACTTGAAACAGAGGTGTTAAGAAGTTGTCAGGGTCAGGTTTAATGCAGTCACAAGTATGGACTTTAGAGCAGCAAAATGAGGAATTTATGACTTGGCCTGTAACCTTGTACTAAATCTCTCTCATGAGAGCATTCCCTATGAATGTACAGTAGTCACATATTAATGACTTTACCTGAAATATGTCACTTTGGTAATCTCCCACAACCCCTTGCAAATCAGATGCTATGTTGAAACTCAAAGTGACAGCACTGTGACCAAATTAAATTAAGTTGATTTGTGCAGTTCTATTATTCTCACATGTTTCAGGAATTGGGGACCAAAGGTGGTCAGGCAAGCTTAGAGGGGTGTCACAGTGAGGGCATCACATGTTCAAGCTTATTCATGAACCAGTGAAAAGGTTTGGGGAAAGAAGACCACACAGAAAGCTGCAAACATAGTGATGTCATGCTAAGCCTATATGGTGTGGCAGATGAATGTGAATCACTACACCAATTAAAAAAAAAATTCATATCTTTCTAACTGCATATATCATGATTGCAATCATTATTTTACTTCTACATAACACTAATATTAAGTGTTTGGCCCCTTATATTTTTGGGAAAGCAGTGATATATAAGAATGACCCATTTGACTCGCTGTGTTAGTGTACTTGACTACACTGTCTTAAAGAGGAACTCCACTGTTCCTATCCTCCATGATTTCCCCTCCCCCCCCTTACCTTTTCTTTTCTGGTGTTATGTATAGTTCACCTACTCACCTGGCCTGTGAAATCCAGCATTGCCTTGCTATGATGCACTTTGCTGTTGCCACACGCCTTGTCCAACACCACCATCTGTGTTCCTGATATTATTGGGAGCCAGATTCCTTTTCCTGGTTCAGGCAACTCAGCCCCCTGATGATATGCTGCTGAATCCACCCTTCAGTCACAATGAATGGAGCATGAAGCATCCTGGGATATGTAGCATGCAGTGAAGCAGACATCATGTGTGTTGAAACAGTTATGTATATTCTCCTTCAGAAGGCTAGGTGAAAGAGTGACAATGCAGAAGCAAAAATGAGTGACATGGACAGTGTGTTGTCACCCTAATTCAGGAAGTTCCTAAATAAGAACCTTAATAGCAGGATCTCTGGGAATTTTTTTTTTTAATATAAGCTACAGATTTACAAAATGTATATCCAAAGCCTTTGTTTTAGGTTTTGAGTAGTAGGGAGGGGTCACAATCTCTGTAGGCTTATTATTTTTTGCTGTCTGTACTCTTGAGAAAATTTCCATTTGCTTTCTCAGAGGCACAACAGGATGTTAGTGGGGTGAATCTCCCCAGTGGGGACACAGACAGAAGTAAGGCCTGGTTCACACCTATGCAATTTTTTTTAGTGCTTTTTGCAGAAACTTACTACAGTCCATTTAACATGGTTTCCTATGAGACAGGTTCACATCTGTGTGTTTTCAGCTGCTGCGTTTTTTGATAGGGTCAGGGACTTTTTTTCCCGCAGCAGATTGCAGCACGAATAGGTGTGAACCAGACCTAAAAGCTTGTGATAGATTGTCTAACACTTTCCCACTTTATCCAAAACAAACAACAAAAAGAGTTACATATATGGCATACATCTTGTATATATGACTTATGAAGTTGCTGTAACATAAACTTGCATGGCTTTACACATATTTTTACCTCCTCTTGTTTTAATTATAGGTCAGATCAGGATGGTCGAATTCTTCTTGTGGATAGCCAAAACAGAAGCCTTTCCCAATCTTTCGAAAACCTCCATGAAGAGCCCACTGACGGTTTACTACAGGTAAATATCTATCCATTAATTTACTATTAATATATCAAATTTGGCTTAGAATATCTCTATACAACTTCCACAACTTCTCTATATATACTTCCACAGAAGATATATTTTACGTCTGTATGCAGCTTATTATTCTTTGTAGTTTAGGCCAGCCTTTCTCAATCAGGGTGCCTTGAGGTTTCTCAAGGCAAGTGGGTAGAACAAACCTGTCTTTTAGTCACAGGTTTTCATTGTGCACCATTACTGCCTTCTAGCTGCCGACGTCCTGACAACCAATGACATCATCAGTTGATAAGGAGGTTGTCATTGCCTGCACGGCATCCTAGTTTGACCCTCCCCTACCCCTCTCCATCAGTGCTGGGGTCACATTAGCTCAGTGATGAATAAAAACTGAGGGAGAAGAGAAACATTGGATTACTATTCTGTACCAGTGTGCTTTGGAAGAATAAATCCCCTCTAATGTTGGGTGTCCTACATGTGTGGATGTTGCTGCGTTTATATAAAACTGTTACAATAGTTTTTCACATTTTAGAATGGGGTGCCCTTTTAAAATTATGGACAGTCTAGAAACACCCCATTTTAAAGGGTGCCTAGGGACTGTCCACAATTTTAAAGGGTGCCTTGACTGAAAAAAGGTTGAGAAACGCTGGTTTAGGCTAAGGGATTTTTAAAATGATGGTCATTTATATTCTCACATTACATATGTCCTTTATTTTCTCATATGATAAAGCTGCTTGTTGTTTTTGGCATCAAGCCTCCAGGTCCTGTAAATTGTTTGGATGTGTGGCATGTAATGCATGTTTGAGATCTCCACAAATTGGCTCAATGATGTTGTTGATGTTAGGAGATTGATTGCCACTCCAGAACCTTCACTTTTCTTTGCTGTTCCAGTTGGGAACTTTAGCTTATGACAGATCAGTGTCATGCTGGATAGTCCAAGTGTGCCCAGTGGGCAGCTTTGGACTGATTCTTTTCCAGTATTTTGTGATAATATGGTGCATTCATCTTGCCAATAATTTTGACTAAATTCTCTGTCCCACTGCAGCTTACACCCCCTCCCAAAACAGAAGCTATTCACCTTCATGCATCACAGTAGGGATGTTGTGCTTCTCTTTAAAGGTCTTGTTGATTCCTCTTAAAATATGGTGTTTATGGTTGTGACCATAAAGAGCAATTTAATAATTTTTTTTATATCAAAATGGTGATGATTTTCTGGGTGGTGTTTGGCATATAGTAAGTGGGCTGTTTTGTGGTGTTTGTGCAACAGAAATGGGTAATGTTTTACTAATTTTGTCAGAGATATGAAAAACGTACGAGCACAACTGTAGATGCCTATAACTCCAGTATACTGAAAGCACCCATTTGTGACCTAGAACCATGTAAGCCTGTAAGTGTGCTTGGAACTCATAAAATGACCTTTCCAAGCCCCTTAGTAGTGTTAACAAGTGGTACCCTTGCATATCTTACAACTCGCATTACCAAATTTCATCTGATTGACAGCTGGCTCTGGCTTTCAGCATGCAGCTGAGAGCTGAGCACAGCTGCGCCTGCTCTCTCTGTAGTCTGGCGCTCCAGTGAACACTGGTTGAGCAGAGTAAACCAAGAACTGAGCTAACAGTGGTCATGTGATTGCTCAGTTGTTGGTCATGGAGCCAACAAGTGACATAGAGATGAGTATATATGTTGTTTTTTTTTTACTTCTCATATTTGCCCTTAAATTCTGGGAGTGCTAATCTCTGAAGCAAGCACTGCTGCTGGGAGATAGGTAATGGTACTCACCAATGCTTGCTGAGGGTTTTGGTCATGACCAATAATAGCTGTCCCTAGCAGATTTCATTTAAAGTACAACACTCTTGATGAGTGTTACATTTTCTTTGGTTTTTAATAGTTCTAAAAAATGCAAAATGCAAAAGGAATAATGCAAATGAGTACACATACAGTGGGGCAAAAAAGTATTTAGTCAGCCACCAATTGTGCAAGTTCTCCCACTTACAGTTGTGACCAAAATTATTCAACCCCCACTGAAATTGAGTGTTTTGGCCAGTTTGACATTGCTTTTGATCATTCAGTCATCTTGCTTACATTTACATTAAAGAGGCACTTGTAGGTCAGACAAATATAACATAACAGTTATAATGAAATAACCACAAATGTCTTTTCTGTGCTCACAGCATTATCAGTTTTATTCAACCCCCAAGTGACATTCAATCTTAGTACTTAGTACAGCATCCTTTTACAGTTATAACAGCTTTTAAACGTGAAGCATAGCTTGACACAAGTGTCTTGCAGCGATCTACGGGTATCTTCGCCCATTCTTCATGGGCAAAGGCCTCCAGTTCAGTCACATTCTTAGGCTTGCGCACTGCAACTGCTTTCTTTAAGTCCCACCAGAGGTTCTCAATCGGATTTAAGTCTGGTGACTGCGATGGCCACTCCAAAATGTTCCAGCCTTTCCTCTGCAACCATGCTCTAGTGGACTTGGAGGTATGCTTGGGATCATTGTCCTGTTGAAAGGTCCAACGTCTCCCAAGCCTCAGGTGTGTGACGGACTGCATCACGTTTCCATCCAATATCTCCTGGTACTGAAGAGAATTCATGGTACCTTGCACACGCTGAAGCTTCCCTGTACCTGCAGAAGCAAAACAGCCCCAAAGCATGATTGACCCTCCACCATGCTTCACAGTAGGCAAGGTGTTCTTTTCATCATAGGCCTTGTTCTTCCTCCTCCAAACATAGCGTTGATCCATGGGCCCAAACAGTTCTAAATTTGTTTCATCAGTCCACAGAACACTATCCCACAACTTTTGTGGTTTGTCCACATGGCTTTTGGCATACTGCAGTCGACTCTTCTTATTCTTTGGAGACAGCAAGGGGGTACGCCTGGGAGTTCTGGCACGGAGGCCTTCATTACGCAGTGTGCGTCTTATTGTCTGGGCTGAAACTTCTGTACCCACATCTGACAAATCTTTTCTCAGTTCCTCAGCAGTCACACGGGGACTTCTCTCCACTCTACGCTTCAGGTAGCGCACAGCAGTCGAAGTCAGCATCTCTTCTTTCTGCCACGACCAGGTAGCGTTTCAACAGTGCCCTTTGCCTTGAATTTGCGAATGATGCTTCCTAAGTGGGCTGTTGTGTCTCTTGGTATGTTTAACATCTTTGCAATCTTCTTATAGCCATTGCCTACTAACTCCTGTGAAGAGAAATCACCCTCTTCTCTTGTCTTCCTGGACCATTCTCTTGCCTTCACCATGTTTTGTAACCACAACCAGTACCAAATGTCTAGAAGGAGCTGAGCTCTATCACAGTCATTTTAAAGCTGAGCTAATTGGTGCTTATTATGCTTGATTGCTGCTCGGTGACATCCACAGGTGTTTTCAATACCTGATGGAAAGCACCTGTATGAACCTCAGTTGTTTCTTCAGAGTGGTAGTCTTTAAGGGGTTGAATAATTGTGGCAATGAAGCAAACCACATAATGGTAACCATTTACTACTGTATTACCATAAACAATTGCAGATTTCATTTTAGTTGCATTTGGTGAGTGTTACAACGTCCTTGTAGGATTTGATATTCTGAATAAAATTCAAAAGGAATACACTATAGTCCCTAAACCCCTTTACAAATTGGGTATTTGAATAATTTTGGTCCCAACTGTAAAAAGATGAGAGAGGCCTGTAATTGGCCATCATAGGTAGACCTCAACTATGAGAGACAAAATGAGAAAACAAATCCAGACAATCACATTGGCTGATTTGGAAAGAATTTATTTGCAAATTATGGTGGAAAATAAGTATTTGGTCACCTACAAACAAGCAAGATTTCTGGCTCTCACAGACCTGTACCTTCTTCTTTAAGAGGCTCCTCTGTCCTGCACTCATTACCTGTATCAATGGCACCTGTTTGAACTTGTTATCAGTATAAAAGACACCTGTCCACAACCTCAAACAGTCACACTCCAAACTCCACTATGGTGAAGACCAAAGAGCTGTCGAGGTCACCAGAAACAAAATTGTAGACCTGCCCCAGGCTGGGAAGACTGGAATCTGCAATAGGCAAGCAGCTTGGTGTGAACAAATCAACTGTGGGAGCAATAATTAGAAAATGGAAGACATACAAGACCACTGATAATCTCCCTCGATCTGGGGCTCCACGCAAGATCTCACCCCGTGGGGTCAAAATGATCACAAGAATGGTGAGGAAAAATCCCAGGACCACACGGGGGGACCTAGTGAATGAACTGCAGAGAGCTGGGACCAACATAACAAAGGCTACCATCAGTAACACACTATGCTGCCAGGGACTCAGATCCTGCAGTGCCAGACGTGTCCCCCTGCTTAAGCCAGTACATGTCTGGGCTCGTCTGAAGTTTGCTAGAGAGCATTTGGATGATCCAGAAGAGGATTGAGAGAATGTCATATGGTCAGATGAAACCAAAATAGAACTGTTTGGTAGAAACACAACTCGTCCTGTTTGGAGGAGAGAGAATGCTGAGTTGCATCCAAAGATCACCATACCTACTGTGAAGCATGGGGGTGGCAACATCATGCTTTGGGGCTGTTTCTCCGCAAAGGGACCAGGACGACCGATCCATGTACAGGACAGAATGAATGGGGCCATGTATCGGGAGATTTTGAGTGCAAACCTCCTTCCATCAGCAAGGGCATTGAAGATGAAACGTGGCTGGGTCTTCCAACATGACAATGATCCCAAACATACCGCCCGGGCAACGAAGTAGTGGCTTCATAAGAAGCATTTCAAGGTCCTGGAGTGGCCTAGCTAGTCTCCAGATCTCAACCCCATAGAAAACCTTTGGAGGGAGTTGAAAGTCCGTGTTGCCCAGCGACAGCCCCAAAACATCCCTGCTCTAGAGGAGATCTGCATGGAGGAATGGGCCAACATACCAGCAAGAGTATGTGCCAACCTTGTGAAGACTTACAGGAAATGTTTGACCTCTGTCATTGCCAACAAAGGATATATAACAAAGTATTGAGATGAACTTTTGATATTGACCAAATACTTATTTTCCACCATAATTTGCAAATAAATTCTTTCCAAATCAGCCAATGTGATTGTCTGGATTTTTTTTCTCATTTTGTCTCTCATAGTTGAGGTCTACCTATGATGCCAATTACAGGCCTCTCTCATCTTTTTAAGTGGGAGAACTTGCACAATTGGTGGCTGACTAAATACTTTTTTGCCCACTGTACATACGTTCAGTTCGACAGTGCAATTTTGAGTCAAAGTCCATAGAACAATTACAATAAGGCGCATATAACCAGGAGCTGTGGACCTTTTACTATACAACCAAACACAGTATAATTTAAGGAAATTTAACAAAGGCTAGCCTAGAACAAATTATATTCATCTGTTCCTATATAGGCCTATTAAAGGACAAATTTCAGGGTGACTGAGTTGGTTCCAAAGTGTATATTCACTATAGCTACACTGCCCAAAGGAATATAGGAAGGACCTTCAAAAAATGTATGTGATAAAACAAATAAGGGGGGTTGGGCAGCCAAATATGACTATATTTGCAAAGCTCCAGAATTAGTTCAGAAGAAGGCTATTTATGGGGACAAGAGTTTAAGAACTTTCTTGTGGCTGTCTTAACAAAATAATTATTTTTCATTAGGCATTGTTCGAGTGTTACATTTCCAATTAAAAAAGTTCACAAACTAAAGGAGTTATTTGATTTAATCCTCATCATCAGCATAGTATCAGTTTGGTGTGAAGGGAACCGTAAATCCTAGCTAACTGCCATTTAATTTCCTTGGTTGTACAGCAGGTTTTGTATAGGTGTCTAATAATAATATGTACATTTTTGTTCTCAGAAATTTAAGAAGGACCCGTATGCTGCCACAATGATAAACTTTTCCAAAGTTACAAACTTCCTGGTTCACTCTTTACGAGGTTCTGATTCAGCTACACACCGCAGGCCACCTCAGGAAATGGCTGATTTCCTTGTTGATGCAATTCCCGATTTAAAAATAAATCAACAAGAAGAATCAGGGTTTGAAGTAATAACTCGTGTAAGTATTGATGTCTTTAATTTTTTGTCTTGCTGTAGGCCATAAAATACAGCAAAGAAGATTGTAAAGCTGCCCAGAGCCATAAACATATTCCCATTTAGCTGCTGAGGATGATGTATCCGGACACCAGACTGTCGCAGAGATTCTCTGTGCATGGTTTTGAGTTATTTAGCCTGGTCTGGTGCCACAGGGCTCCGTGGGGTATTGGCAGTCAATTTGTCTCCACTTCCCTGGGCAATAAGAGGTTGCATTAGTATGGCTTTGTCTCATTTTCCTTTTTTTTTTTTGACCCAGTCCAAGTTTTAGATAATCTGACTCCAGCCTATTTTTTTTTTTTTTTTTAACCAATGCATCTTAACAGAGATGTCATCGAAATACAAACCCTTTTTTTTCTTCAGACAACACATTTTTTATGGACAAGAATGTGTGTATTTTTGTGCACAGTTTATAAATGGATAGGCATCATTTTTATATGCAACTGACCATTTATTTTACTGATTGATCATCACTGTTTATACAACACGTTGGTTTTTATGGACAATATTGTGTTTTTTGTATGCTCAGTTTGTTGGAAAATAGGTTAAAAAACACTTTTATACCGGCCACTTTTCCCCTCTTCTTGCCCAGGCCTTTTTCAGCTTTCAGCGCTGTTGCAATTTGAATGACAGTTGCACAGTCATGCAACACTGTACCCAAACTAAATTGTTATCTTTTTTCACACAAACAGAGCTTTCTTTTGGTGGCATTTAATCACCACTGGGTTTTTCATTTTTTGCTAAATAAACAAAAAAAAAAGAAAGAAAAGTTTGAAAAAAGTGTTTTTCTTTGTTTTCTGATAAAAATCTGCAAATAAATGCTCTTCATAAATTTAGGCCAAAAAGTATTTGCTACATTTTCTGGTGAAAATAACCCAAATCATTAAGATAGTAGATATATAGCGAGCGCTCAGAGAAATCAGCAGCTGGAACACTTCAAGGAATCATCGGACCTTATAACAGAAATACAGTATATATATAGTGCAGCGCTGTGATGTGATTAAAATATCATGATTTAAAATAGTTCATCAAGTCCTTAGTCATAATAAAATCAAATATGTGCAGGCCTTCTCCTCATTAGGTGACTGGAAAACAGTAAAAATGCGCACTCACCGACCGCACATTTTAAATGCGCCTGTGTGTAATCTTATCCAGAGGACCAGCCAAGCATGCAGCTCCAGAACACATATGGATCCTCCCTCTCAAGCACTGACATCAACCTTGGGTGTAGTAATACCTCCAGATCCAGAGACCCTCTCGCCCCAGATGATAGGTAGACAGGGATCCCCCTCCTGGTTCCAGGTACCCCAAAAAAGAAGATGTAGATCCGGCAGTGGTAAAGATTAGAGACCACTGGACCTCCTCATGGTCTCAGTGGTCAGGAAGTCACACTTGCTAATGGCTCCTCCTGAGGCCTTTCGTGCCAAATGCACTTCATCAGAGGATGGACATCAGTGGGTCCATCCTCTGATGAAGTCCATTTGGTCTCAGGAGGAGCCATTAGCAAGTGTGACTTTACCACCACTCAGGAGGAGGTCCAGTGGTCTCCTCTAATCTTTACCACTGCCGGATCTACATCTTCTTTTTTGGGGTACCTGGAAACAGGAGGGGGATCCCTGTCTACCTATCATCTGGGGCGAGAGGGTCTCTGGATCTGGAGGTATTACTACACCCAAGGTTGATGTCAGTGCTTGAGAGGGAGGATCCATATGTGTTCTGGAGCTGCATGCTTGGCTGGTCCTCTGGATAAGATTACACACAGGCGCATTTAAAATGTGCGGTCGGTGAGTGCGCATTTTTACTGTTTTCCAGTCACCTAATGAGGAGAAGGCCTGCACATATTTGATTTTATTATGACTAAGGACTTGATGAACTATTTTAAATCATGATATTTTAATCACATCACAGCGCTGCACTATATATATACTGTAACCCAAATCATTGTTTAATATTTAGTCTGTAAAAAAGTTACAAACTATGGTATATATCTCAAAATCGATCAATCCTGATGTACTGATGACCTATTTCATTTCTTGAGGCCCAAAAATACCAGGGCAGTACAGATATCTCTCAAGTGACCCAGTAGACAGTCCAGGATATTTAGTAAGAGGCATGGTGAGTTTTTTGAAGTTGTTATTTTTTGGTCATCATTTTTTGGAAAATAAAGAAATTGCAAAATATACATTTCTAATTTTTTTTTTTTTTTTTAACATACTGTCACTGGTGCAGTACAGCATCATTATATAATGGGTGTGGCGGTGACCAGGGACACTGACTAGTGATAGTACGAAAAAAAACAAAAACATTTTTTTCTTTCATTACATTTTTTTTAACACACTGTGACCAGAGCAATATATTGTTACAATACTAATATTATTCATTATTATTGCTTATAGCATTTAATTGCACTGCTATACACAAGCTTTTTACTGAAATGAAATTGATTCATTAACTGTATTTTGTTGTGATTAGTTGTGACTGGCCTCAGCTAATCACATGGTACAGATGGGTTGTGATTGGCCCTGTCTGTACCATTACATTTTTTTTTAACACACTGACCAGAGCAATATAATGTTACCATAGTAATATTGTACTACTCTGGGGAAGTGATCAGGATTTTTTTTACTAATTATGACTGCTTATAGCATTGAATTTCACTGCTATATGCAAGCATTTTACTGAATGAAATTGATTAATTTAGTGTATTTTGTTGTGCTTAGTTGTGACTGGTGTCAGCTAATCACATGGTACAGATGGGCTGTGATTGGCCCTGTCTGTACCATGTGATCAGCCACAGCTTGCAACACAATTGTACACAATTAATGACATGTATCAAAGTCATCCATTGTTTACAATTGTCTTGTGATTTGCTGTGATTGGTCACAGCGATCACATGGTACCGGCAGCTGGCCGATACAGTGATCTGTCATTGGCTATGTCTGGTGGTCATAGCTGGTGACAGATCGCGCCCGCGAGGCATCTGGAACTATGAAAGTCACGCCCGGCAGTCATTTTGCTAAGTTGTTAAAGTGTCAATAAAGGCAATTTTTTTTCGTTTAGGATTAGAAAACCTGTCAGGTTTTTTAGCTTTCTGTGCTTCCATTAGGAAGATTTTGGGTTGACATCAGAACAGGAATAGTTGGGTAATCTAGTTCTGGTGACACGCCTGGATTTCCACACTTTGGAGGGATTTCCTCTCACTTCTTATTTTGGCAGTGGGACAGGATGTGAAGGGAAATCTCCCCAATGGGACACAGATGGCAAAGAAAGAAACTGACAGGGGTTATCACCCTCCCTAACTCTATCAAAAATGTAAAAATGAAAAAAAAAAAAAAAAAACGTTTTGCCTTTAGTGACGCATTAATATCAATATATGCATATATCATTTGTTTTACTGATTGATTGTCATAAATTGTTTGGGATAATGATTTATTCTTGTATAAGACAAACCTGCGCTCGGAAATTAAACTTCAAAATGATAAAGCAGCTTGTACATTAAATAGGCCAACAGTTACATTCATAAAACAATGGCAGCGCTAATTGTACATATAACTTGAAGATCCAAAAGATAAAAAATAATTATACACAGATGACAGCAAAGTCCATGTAGGATTCCCATATATAGATAGAAATTGGTGCAAATTCCAGTCCAGAAAGAAGACCGTCACCTAAATAAATTGGCCTCTCACCAGAAGGTCTGACCTCCCAAAGGGTCGGCCAGCATGAGCAGTGTAATATATCCAGCTGATACTGCAACCAGTCTTCAATCGAAATCACTTCCAGAGCAATCAAAGATGTTTCTCCAAATTAAAATTCTGGAGGGAGTCACGCCGTGTGACGTCATCACGCTCTGGAGGGACAGTGGCCATCTTGTTGGTTTAAAACGTACCATTCTGTCATTCTGCATGCTGTTTTTTGATGCTTGCTATGTAGGTGCAATTTGAATAAATCTTCTGAATTAACTAATTTACTACACTAGGAGCTGGCAATTTTTCCTTCGATGTGGCATTCTGTTGCCTGATGGGAAGTTTGCTACTCAGAATTTTAATTTGGAGATCAAATTAGTGGTGGTGCACTTGTATTGAGGATTTACAGCACTGGGATTTGCGGTGCAGTCACCAGTAGGAAGATTCTCTTCTCCATCTGGATTTCTTGAAGAGTTTTTTTCATTATTATTTGTGTGGACCTAGTCACGTTGGAATTGAATTTTGATTTTTTTCATTTTTCATTTTACATCATTATTGATTTAGAGCAGTTCAACACCTTTATTCGCTTGTATACTTTTTTATGGGGACACACATAACACGTGTTTGCAGCAGCTCGTTATATATGTGTTAGCCTTTACACTTAATTTTATTTTGTACTTTGGGAGCGCACAATTTTTTTTTGTTTTACAAAAGTTTACATACCCTGGAATTTTTGGCCTTGGTGCAGACACACAAGGTGACACACAGGTAAAAATGGCAATTAAAGATTAACTTCCCACATCTGTGGCTTTTTAAATTGCAATTAGTATCTGTGTATAAATAGTCAATGAGTTTGTTAGCTCTCATGGATGCACTGAGCAAGCTAGATACTGAGCCATGGAGAGCAGAAAAGAACCGTCAAAAGACCTGTGTAACAAGGTAATGGACAGTTATAAAGACAGAAAAGGATATAAAAAGATATCCAAAGCCTTGAATGTGCCAATCAGTATTGTTCAATCACTTTGTTCTGGACATAATACTGGAAATGTTATAGATCGACAACTCCTATCCTCATATAGATTAGTGTTTCCAAATTAATAACTACTGCAGTAGCGAACAGACACAAAAAGATACACTCAGCACCTTTCCAAATCACTGTTCTGTTTATTCGGTGTATTTGAAGTTTTCTTTATACACATGGTTGTGTAGTTATCACATTAATATTACAATTGCACTTTTATGGTAACAAGGGGTGTTACATAGGCAGGCTAATTTCTAATCAGGACTTGAAGGAATGCAGACATAATCAAAACGTTATTGGTGCCGTGTGCACAATGAGTGCAGTGTACAATACATAGATAAAGCATACAAAATAGAATACAATTTTATACAGAATTTACACATTTCCTTTGCAAAAAAAGCCTGGGTACAATATGCCTGACAACACCTTCACACGCCTCACTAGGGTTTTCTTTTGTGGCATTGGCGTGGTAAAAGCTTCTCGACCAAACAGCTAATTTTTGTTCAAGTATCATTGTATTGCGCTCCTTAAAGACAATCACGCTGTCTTTTTCCAGAACAGCCTGTATTTCTCCAGAGGTTACCACTGGGTTTTTCTTTGTATCCCGAACAATTGTTCTGGCTGCAATCTTTCTTGGTCTACCTGACCTTGGCTTAGTATCAAGAGATCCCAAAATTTTCCATTTCTTTATAAGTGATTGAACAGTACTGACTGGCATCTTCAAGGCTTTGAATATCTTTTTATATCCTTTTCCATCTTTATTTAGTTCCATTACCTTGTTACTCAGGTCTTTTGACAGTTCTTTTCTGCTCCCAATATCTAGCCTGCTCAGTGCATCCACGTGAGAGCTAACAAGCTCATTGACTATTTATAGACAGACACTCATTGCAATTTAAAAAGCCACAGATGTGGGAAATTAACATTTAATGGCCATTTTAACCCGTGTGTGTCACCTTGTGTGTCTGTACCAAGGCCAAACATTCCAGGGTATGTAAACTTTTGATCAGTGCCATTTGGGTGACTTCTGTTGTCATTATGATTTAAAAAGGAGCCAAACAACTATGCGATAATAAATTAATTCATATGATCATCGTCCTTAAATAAAATGCCGTTTTTTGGCATGATCAGTCATATTTTCAGTATCAATGCCAAAATGTCATGCTTTCTGCCAGGGTATGCAAACTTTTGAGCACAACTGTAGGCATGGAAAACACAAACTAATACCCGTGTCTGTAGATGGCGTCATGACCTGTCCACGTGCTGCCATGTTTGATGTTTTCTAAATAAAGATGATATATATCTTGGAGCTGTGACATATCCATACTTGTTATAGAAGAAAAAACTAAGGGGCCTTGTCATTTGCCAGAATTTTACTTGTTAGTATTAAACCTGCATTTTGCTATACACATTTCTAAAGCAACTTTGAAAATTCTACTTTTACTTTATTTAGTTAATAAAACAGGTTTAGTCTAAAACATCCATATTGTAAGCAATCGAGCGCTTTACTTTCAAGGCCACATTGCTGTCAGTTTTCTGTTTAAGATGGAGGGAAAAGGTAATTTGGGATTTGGTGCTGCAAATACCTATTGTAAATAGAGTCTTAAACAGCAACAAACCGTTGCGGGTTGTCAAGTGAGATAGTATATGTCTTTAATATCTCATCTGTTGGAGAAGGCAGTTACATCTTTCATGGTGACTCATTGCCATGCTCTGCTGTAAATCAGGGGTTAGTTTTCACTTTTTGTTAAAACTTGTTGTCTGTGTAAACTCCCATTTAATAGTATCAATAAACAGATTTTCAAATGTCTGTATAATAGAAACATTAACTATTTACTTCGGGTTGAGCTGAGTGAATTTACTGATATCATTTTTGTGAAGAAAAATATTAACAGAATGACAAAACCCTAACTGTGTTAAGTCAGTTTTTACCTTTATGTTGAACAGAAAAATATTTTTTGTGTAAGCTGCTTGGCCTCTTCAGTCTTTAATATATCTTGCAGTGGTCAGATTTACTTTGATATATAATAAAGTGAATATAGCCACATATTTGATTTTATGTACATCTTTCTGTATCTGTAGCTGAATTATTTAAACTTCTCCTTTGTTCTGATGTATTTTAGAAATCATTTTAGGGAAAATGATGCAAGACATTGGCTTTACTCCCTTTCTCAATGCTGAAGTCTTTTGGTCTCACAACAATCTATTACTGTTCATCAAATTCTCTAGCAATATTTTTCCTTACCAGAATAGCATGCATTGAGTTAACACACTGTCAGGGCCAGGCCAGTAGCTATAGCTGTAGAGAGGCTCCCACAGCAGGATAGGTATACAAGCAGGTCACCTTGGCAGAAGAGACAGGCTCACTTGAGGTGCGGGGTCTAAGTACAGTATTCTCCAGAGCTCCTGATGGTGGAGATGGGTTTTGTTGCCTGTTATCACCAGGTCGTGGTCCTCAGGATCACACCATCATGCGATAAGCAAGATGGAGTTCAATAGCAGATATAGTAGGTAGGGATCAAGCAGAAGCGTAATCAAGGAACAAGCCAAAAGTCAGAAACAATTGGTTGTAGGTTGGGATCAAGCAGAAGTGTAATCGAAGAACAAGCCAAAGGTCGGTAACAAGTGATTGCAGGAAGGTATCAAGCTGAAGCATATTCCAGAAGCAAGCCAAAGATCTGTAATGAGTGATAGTATAAGTATACATACAGCAGTAGGAATGACAACAGCGAGATACTGGCTGGAGAGAGCACAATAATCTGGCAAACAGGAAGTGCAAAGATGTGGCTTAAAGCGAAGCTCCACCCAAAAGGGGAAGTTCCACTTTAAGGACTGGTCCTTTGCTTCCCATGAAGAATTGGCACCTTTGGGGGGCGGATTTTGACAGGTACCCGTTCCCAGTTCCGCTTCAACTGCCTAGGCGTTCAGAAGCGGAAGTTCTCCTCCCCCTCTCTCCCCGCAGTCTTCTGGGATACGTGAAAGGTCCCAGAAGACTGTGGGACCATTCACAATGCGCAGCCCTGCTCACGCATGCAAGAATGGATGGTGAACACACCGCTGGATCATGGGACAGGTGAGTGGCTGTTTTTGTTTTTTTGTTTTTAAGTCAGCAGCTACAAGTTTTGTAGCTGCTGACTTTTTTTTTTCCAGAGGAGACTGGACAACTGCTTTAAATAGGAAGTCCATGGGAGGAGCAAAGGGTTCAAGAGAAACAAGACAGAAAGCAAGATTATCTAATACATCAGGCAGGGTGCTGTCCAGCATCCCAGGTGGCTCAGTAAGAAGAGATACTGCCAGACACAGCAGAGGTTGCAGGTTCAGAACAGGGTTCTGACACACACACGGGCTAAAGCATTGAATCTTTTTGGCCTTTGAGGTAGTTTTCTGTAATTGGTACAGTGTAAATCTGTCTTTTGTCCTGATCCACCCTCTTCTACAGTTTGGAACTGCAGATGGAAATAATGTGTACTTAGTCTGATAGCTGGCTTGCATCACACTAGGAATTCCAAAGCTGTACTGGTCATTTCTTGGTCAACTTAAGTTGAAAGTAAATCATAACTTGCGGGCTATTTGCCACCTTGCATTGGTAGCAATGATTAAAGTGGAGTTTTCCTACACGTGTACCATATTTTCTATACATTTTCCAATTTTCTCAGTTATTTTTCAACTAAACCTTTCACTTTGCACCATAAATCTAATGCTTGATTCTTTTAGATTGATGTTGGAACTCGCCCAGAAGTCCAACGAAGAGATCCAGTTTCGACTTCTGAATGGGATAGCCATATGGATTCAGAAGGAAGAATTCAGAATGTGGACCATGTAAAGACCATGATATTTAAAGGGGTGTGTGCCACTTTAAAAACCTATTCTTGCTCTTTAGTTTGAAATATTGTTTTGGGTGTAACAATTAGGTTGGGTGGGTGAATTGAACTAGGGAACTGTAAATGTTTAAGGATGTAGGAGTTCATAAAATGAATTACTTGATGCTTTGTAGCTAAAGCAACATATACAGTAGCTTTACACATGTATCCTTTTTAATGAATAATTTAAATATTAGCTCTATATGTGAAGTTAACAGCATGCTGCATCCAATAATGGATGGTTTGGCTTAAAGTAATATATACTGATTTCTTATTGAGTGAATATTTTTCATTTTTGCAATGTTAAAGGATACGTATATACAGTATAATGTATAATCAGTATAATCAACTGCTTCACTCTCAACATCCCTATGCACTCCACTACAGGTGACTTTTGCATACCATAGCCTGGGCTGGGCAAGGAGGTGCTCCTTTTCTTTGGTACTCGGAGGATAGGCATCTTCATCCTGATCCTTATATCTCTCTAAACATCTGTGTGAGCCAGGAAATAATATTTGACAAGTTTCCTTTAGGGAGGCATTGTATTCATGTGTGTCTTGGGAAGTAAGATGATTTTCAGACCTGTCTGAAGTATAATATTATGTTGTTACATAGTAACCCCTCCCACTAGTCTGGTATTGGTTATTCATGTAGCAGTAGGATGCAATATAACAATCATTTTGATGAACAAGTCATATCATTCAAACAATCATATGATTTAAAATCCCAGTGAGTTTAGCCAAATCGATCATGGCGCATAGAGCAATCATTTTACAACAAAAGATTGTTTGAAATAATCGCATACAGTATATGATCAATGGGTTGTTCATTATCGCATATTATGCCTGAAGATGACTTGATTTTGCTATTTCTTTATTAAGCTTCATGCACACAGGGTATCTCTGAACACCAGAACTCTTGGCAGGAGAAAAGATCCTTAAAAATGCACCTAAAGCCGCATATTGCACATTTTTAGATGTGTTTGGTCAGAATATTAAATTATTCTTGCCATTTGAGTGCTACGGCTAGCGTTTATGCACGTTCAATGTTTTTTCAGCTCCTCTCCTGATCTTGTGTTTGGTGGTTTTTTTCCTCTACCTGTAATGCGCCTCTGTTAATATGCCCATAAACACCCGTGCACCTTTGTGTGCATGGACACACAATCTTACAGAGAGGTGCTTTTATAGGCTGTAAAAAAAAAATCTAAACACCTGTAAAGGCGATGTTTTTTTTTTATTTTTTTAAACAGTGTGCATGAGGCCTAAAAGTAGGTCTTTTGAAACAGGGTTTAAACATTAAAAGGCAAATAATTTCAGACTTAATACTCTTTCCTGGTTTTTTCTATGTATTATGTTCTTTTATTTTTTTTAAATATTTACTTTAGATGCCTTTTAATTTAGTTAATGTATATAGGATTAAATTGATTATAAAATAAACTTTACACTTTCAAAAAGATAACAAACATTAACCGAGGTGTAAGCATTATTTAAAGCTCATTTCTAAAAGCTCCATCCTTTCCCACATCCTCTTGCTGGGTGTTTATCACAGAGTAAATCAAGTGTAAAGCCAGGGTAGTTATGTGTAACACTATTTCAATACTCTGCTTGGTTATTTCCAGAATTCATGGTACTTTCATCACATCTTGTCAACATTTAATTTCTCTCCACTGCTCAGTACATTGCTTTTGTAGTTCCACATTTGACAGCTCCTCTTTGAACCTGATAAGCAGGAACCTTTTGTATTTGGTAGCGATAACATAATCGTAATCACTTGAGTTCACAAATGCATTTCCCAGAAACCTATTTGGTCTGTTTTACAAATACAGAGTGATGTATTTTTGTTGCATCCAAAATGTCAGTTTTGAAGCGTTCAGAGTCTGTACTTACTGACCTCCTTATATCACCAAAGCAGTCCTTGTAATCTCTTTACAACATGAGCATATCCTCATATGTTCAGAGCAGCCTATGCATCTAAGACGGCGATAATCTTTGTAGAGAAGGCTTTGTACACTATTTCTTATTAAAAGGATGGCTTTATGGATTTTCAGCCTTGGTTGGTGCTTTGAGTTTCATGAACTGTATCTGTAAAGCTACTTTTACTGGTGTCTAATAATCTAAGCTGAACTCTTCATTTTAAATACAACTCTCATAAACATTTACAAACATTTTACTGCAGTTGAGGTGGAAGGGCTAATTGCAGTTGTGTTTTGCTGCAGGGGCTCTGCCATGCCCTAAGAAAGGAGGCTTGGAAGTTTTTGTTGGGATATTTTCCATGGAACAGCACAAAAGAAGAACGGGCTCTGCTGCAAAAAAGGAAAACGTATGTACTTCAATAAATGTCACCAACTTTATATATTATGTGTAATCCGGAATAAATGGACACATATATTTAGGTCTAAGTTGTGCTGCCTTAATATTTTCTGCAATTTTTAAGGTGGTCATCTCTTTCCTATAACATGAGACATGCTACAGAAGAAATATTACCTTTCACAGACCAGTAGTTTTGATTTAAAGTGGTTGTAAAGGCAGAAGATGTTTTACCTTACTGCATTCTATGCAGTATGGTAAGAAAAAATAAAAAAAACCTTCTGCATGCAGAATCCCCCACAGCCCCCCCTAAATTTATACCTGAACTTGATCTTGAGCCAGCGATGTTCAAAAGAGCGGAGGCTTTCTCAGCTCTCTCACTCATTGGCTCAAATACAGCAGCAGGAATCCATTGGCTCCCACTGTTGTCTAATAGAGCCAGGGACTCGGGAGTAGGAGGTGGGTTCAAGCCCTGCTCTGTGTGTCTTATGGACACACAGAGCAGATCTCAGGAGTGAACAGGCACGAGTGCCCCATAGCAAGTGGATAACTATAAGGGCACTTGTTGGGGGAAAGGAGCCCTGATCACCAGCAGGGGACCTGAGAAGAGGAGGATCAGCTCTGTACAAAACCATTGTACACAGCAGGTAAGTATAACATGTTTGTTACTTAATATAATAAAAAAAAAAAAAAAAAAGCTTTACAAATCCTTTACAAACGCTTATTATTTACGAAAATACCCAGATCCTTCTCAACCAATGACTCACCCATGCATGTTTGTAGCTTCCAAGTGCATTGCTTTACATTTACCAATAAACCACATTTGCCACATAGTTGCCCAGGTAAATAGTGCACTGAAGTCAGATGTAATTACGTCTAATTAGACATAATTAACACCTAAGTTTGCTTCTCTCTTCAGCTATTATTTTCCTGAGGATTTTTTTTTTGTTTTTTTTTCTATTTTATTACCTATGAATATTTAAACTTTTTTAATTATTATTTTTTATACATTTAAGATATATTTACACAATTCACATTTAGAACAGTGCAAAACTGAAAAAATAAAAACATTTTACAAAGTTAGAGACACCTGTCCAGGGACGCTGTCCAACGCTGTCTTTTTTCTTTGGTCTTTGGATCCCCTGTGTTGGCATCTTTGCTATGGTAAGTCAGCTGTGAGTTATAATGGCTTCACAGCTGGCTTCCTACTGCGCATTTGCGAGCCACGCTGGACATCTGGTCCCACAGCTAGGACCTAGGACCTGTGATTGGCCCCAGAAAGCTGCAGAGAAAGAAGGGGGGGGGTGAACATCTATTCAGATTTCTTAGGCAATCTGAGCCAAAGTGGGATCAGGTACCTGTCAAAACTAGGTACACACCCCCCCCCCTTTCCCCTTTTGGATGAAGTTGCGCTTTGTTTTTGAGATTGTAACTATAAATAAGGTGTGGCACCTTCTATCTAAACTTTTTTTGTTTGTTTTGTTCAGAAATATTTTTACACCTTTAACATATATTTATATGTTTCATTTTTAAAAAAAGTGCAAAATTAAAGAAATGTTTATTTGATTTGTAAATAACTGCAATGCTTTGTACCAGAATCATAATTTTACTGTCCTTTTAAATAGAAAAAATTACAGAATAGAATGCACATATTTTATCTGCAGTAACACAATTTATTTTTAAACTAGCACTGCTCAAAAAAAGCAATAGAAAAAGTTAATTTTATTTTGTTTTGTTGCGTTTTATAGTCTATGGATTGTGTGGGAAAAAGATTATTGTTGCAAGACAAAAAAAGCCTTGTTTGTCCTTACACGCACACACGCACGCACGCACGCACGCACGCACACACACACACACACACACACACACACACACACACACACACCCCTCTGGTTCATGGGGGGGTGAACAAGTGTGAGAGGCGACCTAGTTAAAGTGGTATTAAAACCAAAAATATACTGTACTGCAGCTTACCAATCATTGGATGTGGTGGCTGCATTAGTTTTCTTTTTTTTTTGGCTTTTGCCCTCTGCTTTTACCAGTGATTTGGCCAGTAACACACCTCCTGTATTCGTAAGACACCTCTCTGGATGAATGAGAACAGGGGGCACATTTGGAAAGCAGCATTGTCAGTCTGGGGAAGGGAGAAGGGGGATTGTTCTCATTTGGTGAAGACACGTAGTTTGAGGCTTTGAAGCCGCATGGGCTAAATGGGAGAGCAGCAATCCCTCTTGCACACACACTAGGCTTCACTTCGTGGGTAAGTATATGGATGCCGACACTCTGTTTTTCTGAGCATCCGGGAAAAGAGTTTTCTCCTGCTTATGAGCGGGGGGCCACAAGTTTCTTGCTTTAATATTGGGCCATATTAACTGCCTATGTATTAGTGTGTGACTGAGAGCATTATATAGTAGAAGAGCTCCGTCAGAGAAAATTTGGTAGGCTGATTAAGGATAGACACTGCTCCGAAATGCCATGATAGCACAGTAAGGTGATTGTCATTTTTAAAAATGTATGTAGTATATGAAAAGAAAAAGCGTGCTTTGTAAACTGCAGGAGAATATAGGCACTGGTTCAGGCTTGCAAACTTTTACATTTTGGCCCTATTTATGCCACGCTGATAATAATACTTTGCTAATTGACCATAACTCCAACTTGTTCTGTTATCAAAGTAGATAAGTAGTAGGGCTTAAAAAGAGGGGCTTAAAGTGGAACGGAAATCTTTTTAGAATAGACTGCGACAAAATACACCTACTTGTCTACTTACAGTCTACTGCGTCGTGTAACCTGAGCTGTGCACACACAGCTCAGCTTACATCTCCGGCACAGTCCCTGCGTGTGCCGGATGACTGACTTGGAAAGGACTGCACATGTGCAATGCACAAAAATGCATTGCAACTCATTTAAATGCCTTTGAATTGTGTTACCCCTGACTGACAGCCCCCCTCAGGGTTTTTCGTGGAGAGGAGGATCTGTCATGGGAGCCTTACCCACACACTCCACTGGATTGGCAAGTAGAAAGCCCCCTCCCTTCCAACCCTGGATGCAGTGTTGGGGCGCATGGGGTACTCTCTGGGGTGGTCAGTCCTGCTGGGTCCCCTCCTTCCCTCCCTACAGGCCTGGGCTCCTGTAATACGCCTTACACCCCCCTTCCCCCCTCCTCTGCAATGGTGGTGTGGGGCAGTGGGTGTCCTATGCTGGGGTGTTCTCTGTGGCCACGGTGCCTCCTGCTGTAAGGTGTCCTACCTGTGTCCCTGTAGTGGTGGCTGGCCCCTGGTCTTGGCCAGGGGGTCTTCCAGGGCCTGGTGTATGGGCTGCATGCAAGTCCCCTTCTCCCTCTAAGTCGGTTGTGAACTGTTGTGGACATCTGGTCTTGGCAAGATCTGGGGCGACGCAGTCCCAAGAGAAGTTTCTACTGCTGGCTGCTGTGGAAAGGAACTGTTCTGAATCCCCCTTCCTGGCCTGGGTGACAGTGTCCTATGGGGGACCCTTCATAAATTTAGCCTGGGGATTTGCAGCCTTTATGGGCCATTTTGCCTCTGAACACCCGCCCCTTCTTAGTTCTGCCCATGCTCTGTGACAGAGGCAGAGGGGCTGGGGCTTACACCTTATTCCAATGAGTGGCACTGTGGGGGCGCTGCTTAGTGAGCGGCAGCGGCCTGAGCTGCAACCCTGCTATTTGTTGGGGGGTACACTCCCTCCCCTACTTCCCAACCACGGCCATCTGGCTGTTAGGTTGAGAGGGTGCTAAGGCTGTATAAGAGACTCCCTCAGGTGGCCTAGGATACCTGAGCCAGCGGTTGGCATTGAGTGTTCTGCTGGTTGCAGGCTCTGACTACAGCTGCTCTTTTTGGTGTGTTTTCCATGAAAGGAATACAGTGCACATCAGAATAAAGATCTCTAGCAAGCTTCCCCGGCGAGGTGCAATGGCTTAGTGAATAGCCCTTCTCCTGAGTGTTACTGGGGTCCTCTTTGCATTCCCAGTCAATGCTCTCTCATGGTGATCGTACAGTTTTCACACCCTTCTGACTAGGTCATGTATCCATTTGTTACATAGGGTTTGTAGTGGAAGCTTGGTCCTTCTGGTACTGCTGGGGGGGCTCCAGCTAGTTAAGGCAACTCTACACGTCCTGTATGCAACTTGCTTGGGACAGGACAGCACTGCTATGGACACATTGCATACTGCTATGGCTAACAGTGGTGGGTCCCCCTGCCTTTTGGGGACCCTCCGGGTAACCCATTTTGTGCGATGGTAGTTGTCACCCGGGTGTCCTGCGTGCTGCGGTGGTTCGAAGATTTCTTCGTGGTGTTGGCCAGGGACCTAGCATTATCTGTGACACCATGTGAGTAATCAGGTTTTTACCTCCTTCAGGTCAAGAAGGGGCAGGGGCTGTATCCGGAAACAGGGCTCAGCTTCACGGCACATAAACAGAATTTTTTGTCCCCTTGAGTCTAGCCCTCCATGGCTGTGACAAGGTGGTTGAGTGTTTAGGGAGATGGACTGCTAATCCATTGCACTCTGCATGCATGAGTTTGAATCCCATCCTCATCAGCTGGGATTGATTTGTTCTCATGGATAGGCCATTGACATGAAGAATTGTCTCCACCACTTTCCTGGGTGAAGGGTCGCCTGCGCAGTTTTTTTGCGCCCATAGCCCATCCTGTTCCTGGACCAGTGGGCTTCATCCATTTCCGTTGGATAGATTCCTTCTCCTAGCAGTTCACGGTTCCTGGGACACTCGGGTTTGCTAATGCCGGTCCACTAGTCCAGCATGAAATTTGGACGTTCAGTAATAACTTCTCTTCTCTGGGAGATTACCTTGTTTCCCTAGCTGTCTGGGATGATTTACTGCTCATTCCCATCTGTGAGGGGCATCAACTTTTCCTCTGTTTTTGGCTCGGAGTTGCGCACTCTCTTGCAGTGCGATCTTTTAGTCTGGCCTCAGCTCCTGTGTGTTTACCACAGTTTTGACCCCAGCCCTTCTCTTGCTGAGACAATGAGGGATGCTGTGG